TATATATATTCTTGTCTAGCAAGTGGCATGGTATTTGTTCCTATATTCTCAATTCTCAAATGGCATCATCATCATCATCATACAACAACTAACCTGATCTTCATGTAAAGATATTCTTCACATTAATTATTCTTATTATTATTAGCATATAGAGTAGTAGTGCGACTCATTTTGACTTTCTTGAAAGTGGTGCATGAGCCTATAGGCTATATAGTAAAGCAATTGTTTCCCATTCCATTGTGAAAGAATAATGATTGTACTCTTTAACCGAAGGGGTAAAACTTAAAAGAAAACAGTTGGCATTGCAAAAAAGAAGAGCCTGTGTACAAAATGGAAGGCCTAATTAATAATAGAATTACTAGAAGAATGTTTGGTGTAAATGGTTTTGGGTTGTGTTTAGTTGTTTCCCTACCTACAGGTGTTATTGTTCTCGGATCACATGATCACCATGCAAATAATAATTACATAAATAGTGTCATAATGTCATTAATGGCCATTGGCCATTGGTGAATCAAACACCAAAGTGAAGCATGATTAGGTAAAACTTGAAAATCTTCTCATGATTAGTGCTTTTTGCCTTAGGATTAGTCACTTCTATTTCTAATGGTGATCACCTGTCATGAAACAAAACAGTTTAAAACTAAGATGGTCTTTTCAAAAAAAATAAAATAAAAAATAAGACAAACTCATGGTTTGTAAGTTTGAACAATGGTGAAAGTGAAAGAATGGGGGAAGTAAATTAAGAGATGAAACAATTGAAAATGGAAAAGAATGAAATTAACCTGGTGTAGACCCCACCCCACCCCACCCACAAAAACAACTGAACGAAAGAGTGTGGGGGAGGGAGAGTACAATGGCAAGTTGTCATCCACAATGGTAATACCTGCTCTACCCAACCATTCTCTACTTGTCTTTTTATAAAATAATTTCAGACTGTAATTAATTCTTTTGACTGTTGCTCCTTGTAATCATGAGGAATGGATGCAAATTATCANNNTCTCTCTCTCTCTCTCTCTCTCTCTCTCTCTCTCTCTCTCTCTCTCTCTCTCTCTCTCTCTCAGAAACATGTAAAAACCTGTGGCTAAATTTCTTGATATTTAATTTCTCAAATTTAAATCCTTGAATGTTGGCTTTTAGTTTCTACCTAGAAATGTTATTTAAAACAAAAAAGTTCATATTTTAAAAAGCTATTTCAACTAGTTTTGACGTGTTTTAAAAGTTTTTAGTTTTTGACATGTTTGGCAAAAAGCTTTTAAGACATTAGGAGGTTTTAAAAATTTTGGTTTGAGAGTATGAATTTAAAGCTTTCACTTTAAACAAAAAAACTCATATTTGGAAAACTACTTCTTCAAATAATGTATAATGGAAAAATCTTATATATTATACCAAAATTACTTAGATTTCCCATAATAATCATTCTAATCACATACTTAGTGTTTCTTGGTATCTACTCAATATATAATTTTGTATATTTCAAAAACGTCAGTTACTTTTGACGAATATTTTACAATAATATATAAATAAAAATTTCGGCTTTCAACATTTTGCTAGATATATCCTTAATATCTTTTATCATTTTACATATTTTAATAGATTACAGTTAGTCGGTTTGTTTTTTTGAAAATTTCTATACATAAAAATATATGGCCTCCAACTATTTTCATCTATCCAATAGGTTGTGGTCCAATGATTACTTGGATGCTTGTGGGGTATCTTTTAGTTAGTGAAAATGCTGTCATGGATAAGCATTTTTATAATGCTTTTGGTTTAAGAAACGAGATACAACATAAAACTCGTGATTGATTAGCAAATAAGAATAAAATGAATTATCTTTTTTGTTTTTTAATGAGTTGATTTGGTAGATGAAGCATTAATGATTTATGAAAAGTCTAATAATTTCCCTAAATCATATTTCATAATTTTCTACAAAAACCTACGTATAATCTTTATTCCATTCAGTCTAGATTTATTTATTATTTTTTATTTTTTTAAAAGTGGACCATCTTAAATAAGTTTATTAATTTGTGTAATAGCTAGATATAAAGAGCGGATTTTATGTAGAGAAGTCTTATTTTGATTTTTTTTTTTGATAAAGATCTAAATAAATTTTTTGAATAGAAAAATGTTAATTATTTAATTTTACACGATAATCTGTCAGTTAAAATAAAAAAAAACTTTCGGGAAATATTAAATAATCAAGAATTTTCTATTAAAAAAATAATAATTTAGGACTTTTATCAAAAAAATTTATAAAATAATAAGATTTTTTTCTGTAAAAAACCCTATAAAGGGCTTTTCGCTTAATTCATAAAAGGAGAAGGTAGGACTAGTTTTTCAGTATTTATCACAAAAATTATATTTATTTAAAAATGAATTTTGTAAAATAGTTGATAAATAATGTTATCAGTGGTTTTCACTAGAAAAATATTACAAAAAATGAACTTTTTTTAAAAAGAAAATATTTTTGCCAAACAAAAAAGAAAAAGAAAATATAATTTGTGAAACTATTTTTTATCCCTTTTTTTGTAACGGGGACCATTTATTTGTTGAATAAATAATTATTTTGGGATAAATAAGTTAAAGATTGTCAAATGTAATAAAGTCATCTCATTTTTTTTTAATCATTTTTCTGATTATCCAAGTAATAGAAACACCAAGGATTAGGTTAGGAGTTAAATTTAGTTTAAGTCGAAACAAAAAGTGTCATAGTACATGTTAAAATGAGGGGATATTATCGAATTAACCTTTTATAATGAAGTTTTTAATTTAATTTTATTATTATTATTATTATTTGTGTGTTTTTGAAAAATCGTATTTTGTCTTAAACGGCTAATTCCGGACTTGTTTTTGACATTTAAGATTGATCAAAAATATTTAGTGTGTATTTATTTTACTTATTTACACAATTTTTTTCCAAAAAACTATATTCACCCATGTTTGAAATGTCAATTTCAAAATATCTAACATCATTAATTTTCAATTAAATGCATGATTTATAGGTGTATATTTCTTATTTACTATGTTTATTTAATTTCTTATTAGATTTTAGTAAAAAATAAAATATATTTTTGAAATTACGGAATTATTCATTGGATTTCAGACTTATTTAAATTTTGATTTTTTTTAAATGAAATACTTTTGAGTGGTATAGAATAATCCATTTTGGAAAATATTGGTCATTTTTCTAAAAAAATTGCTTTTAGTTATATTTGTTAATATTAATTTAAAATATGATTAGTTTACGTAATATTCCTAAAACGAGATGAGTTAGGTGCCAGCTTAGTTGGCTTATTAGCATAATTTGTTTGGTTATTTTACATTATCAACAATAACAATACCTAGGCATTTCGATATCCAACCAACTCTGAAAATTCTTTCCTATGGGTTATTTGAAATATACACTTCAATTATCCGTGACAAAATTGCAATTGCAAGAATGTGCCACTTTGGGCCAAACATGTTTGAACTAGCACTCATGGTCCAAAGGTTTTCATTTTCTTGCAATTTTGGTCCAATTTACTATAAATTTTTTAATAATGACCATTTTGCCATTTGTTTTTACTTTTTCAGTTTTTTTATTTATTCAAATACTTTTATAATTAAAAGAAAAATAAAAAAGAAAAT